GTTTCCATCCCCTGTCTGACCCCATCTCAAGTCCAGCTTTGCCTTCTTCCCTATGATCCAACCATACTGGCTTAGGCTTGTAAACTTCTTTAAACTCTGCTCTTTTTTATTTCAAGTCTTTAAACATGCTATTTCCACCATCCAGAACATTCTCTTTCCTTTGTTCATTAGGTTAAATGTCATTTCCCGAGAGAAGAGATCCTGATTTCTCAGACTAAGTTAGATCTGCTTATTACTTGCCTGGTCCTTAGGACTGATTACAATTTTAACAGTTCCTTACTTTTATAATTGTATGTCAGTCTTTCCTAGTAGACTTCATGCTTGTGAAGGCAGCAACTGTGTTTTGTTTACTGCATTATTAGTAAATCCCTGCTTCTTGGCATAGCGGATGGCACATGGGAATCATTCAGTGCACATTTGTTTCTGGAATGAATGTGTGAACAAATGAGAGAAACACATTTGTGTGCTCGCTGATCTTGGGCTGCCATGTAATGTACCACAGACTGTGTCTTAAGTCTGTTCAGGCTGCTGTAACAAAATATCATAAGCTGTGTGGCTTATAAACAACAAGTATCTGTTTCTCACTGTTTTGGAAACTGGGAAGTCTGAGGTCCAGGGGCTAGAGATTTGGTGTCTGGGTGGGGAGAGTGCACTTCCTTATACACAGATGCCTGTCTTCTTGCTGTGTACTGAAATAGTTAATAAAACAAGCTCTTATAAGGGCACTAACTCAATTCATGAGGATTCTGCACTTATGACCTAATCACCTCCCAAAGGTCCCACCTCCTAATACCATCATCTTGGGGGCTATAATTTTAGCATAAAAATCTTGGGTTATATGAGAACTGACAATTAAGTTCATGAATTTGCCAATACGTGCTTACATTGGCAGCACTATACAGACAACTTGATAAAGTGCCATAACTTTTATCACAGTTGTGTTTGTGTCACTGTGTGGTGGCATCTTGCTGAGTGACATTCATTATTGTTGTTGCGTGTTTTTGTGTGCTGTAGCAAAATGTTAGAGGTTGAATTAGAGCAATAAACAGATGTTAAATTTCTTGTTAAATTTAGCAAGCGTGGAAGTGAAATCAGGGACATGTTAGTCCAAGTTTACGGGGATAGTGCCTGAAGAAAATGGCAGTGTACAGGTGGATTCAACATTCTTCTGAAGAGAGAGAAAGCCTCACTGATGAAGAGAAGTCAGGGAGGCCAGTGGCAAGCAGAATTGACAAAAATATGACAAGAGTTCATCAACTTGTATATCAAAATCATCAGCTGACTGTGAGAAGCATAGCAGACCAAGTAAACATTGACAGAGAAACCGTTAGGAGAATCTTAACTGAAAATCTTGGCCAACAACTCGTGGCTCTTCCATCATGACAGTGTACCAGTGTACACAGCACTGTCTGTGGGGGGATTCGTAATCAGTAAAGAATAACTGGAACTCTCTCCTTTACCTCATTTGGGTCTCAATTAATTTTTTCTTTACTTGGAGATAAAAGGAAACATTGAAAGGAAGACATTTTGATGACATTCAGGACATCAAAGGTAACAGGACAACAGCTCTGATAGTCATTCTAATAAAAGACTCTCAAAGTGCTTTGAAGGGTGGACGAGGTCCTAGTTCCTCAGGGGAGTGCTTTGAAAGTGTCTAGAGTGATATTCAGCAATGAGGTGTGTAGCACTTTTTCTAGGATGAGTTTGCAAACTTAATCATCAGATCTCATAAGCATTCAGTCCATTGTAGATGGTGGCTTAAACAATAGACATTTATTTCTCGCAGTTCTAGAGGCTAGAAAGTCCAAGATTAAGGTGTTGACTGATTTGGTTCCTGGTGAGGCCCCTGGAGGTGGCCGTCTTCTTGCTGTGCCCTCACATGGTGGAGACGTCTGGTAGCTTTACTTCTAAGGGCACTATTTCTACTATGAGAGCCCCAGCCTCATGACTTCAACTCAAACTAATTACATCCCAAAGGCTCGACTCCAAATACCATCACACTGAAGGTCAGGGCCTTAATATATGCATTTGGTAGGGGTTTTCCTTGGAGGGGACACAACTCAGTCAATAGCACAAGCATTATCTCCTGTGATTCTTAGATAATCCCATGGAAAGGAAACTTAGAAAGTTGGAACTGCCTAAGGCCACTCAGGTCGGTAGTAACAAATGTAGGAATGACCTGGACAGAAAACTGGACCCTTGAAGGTTGGGGGTGGGTTTGGAATTGTGATGTCAACTCTCGTCAGGGAGATATTTGATTCATCTTCCTTCACCCTCTCAGCCTTGTGCCCAGGTCCCACACCCTTATTCTGGCTCTGACACATTTTTCAGAACAGGAAAAAGAATAATAAAAAAAAAAAAAAGCGGCCCCCGCCTTACACCCAGGCAGTGGGAGACAAAGGTCTCTCTGTTAAATAGATCTTAGAATAAGAACATTTCTCCCACACAGTACCAGAGGTAAGATAAGGAAGGGTGAGGTTCTCGGAATCTTCTGAAGCCTGATTAACTCATGATGTTCTGGAAGTAGCACTAGTAACAATATAGCTAGTTCAGATAACACATTGAGCTTCTTATTTGAAACAGGAACTCTGGAAGGTGCTAGAGACTTCAGGAGTTGTGCATGTCTTCCCCTGCCCTTGGGAAGCTGTCAGCAAAATGATGACATAGATACTTTGGGGCACTAGCCCTTTGTCTTGGCTGCTGTTTCTGTATAAAAGGTGAATTGTCAGCCACAGCACACCAGGAGTGGCTGTGCCCCGAACTTGCTGACCTTACTTTCTCTTGCTCCCTTCCCTGTCTTCCTGTCTGCGGCAGCTCCTTGAACTGAGTGTAGCCACTGGCCTCCTGGTTCCTGCCAAGAAGGAAATTCAGGAGCTCTGCTCACCCAGTGCACTGAGTTAGAAGCAGTAAGTAGTCATGTGGCCATGAGAAAGCTGCATAGCATCTCTGAAACTAAGCAATAAATTATACCCTCCTTGCTTACCTCCCAGGTTCTTGGGTAAATATTAAAGGATATATTATGCATTAGCTTCATAAACAGTAAAAAGTTACATAATGCAAAAAATTATGGTGATCCTCACACAGATGATGAGCTGGATGGGTCCTGAGGGACACTCCCTGCTTACTGAATGCTGGGCCCTCTTATAAGCCCTGCACAGATATTAACCCATTTAATCTGTGTGCAGTCCAGTGGGGTAGGTACTATTATTCTCCTTTTACATATGAGGAACACAGAGGTTAAGTGTCTTGCCGAAGGTCACATAGTAAGAGGAGGAGGGTCATGTAGCAGGTGGGAGACCCAAAATTCAAAGCCAGGCAGTCAGGTTCCAGAACCCTCTGCTAACCACCATACAAAACTGCCTCTTGTTGGCTGGCTTAGCACTCTGTGAGTACCTGATGAGAATTACAATGGCCTGATTTAATGATCGATATGCTACTGAAGGCAGAGACTGTACTCACACACACACACTCACACACTTGCCCGATGCCTGCTCCATAGTGGGAACTCAGTAAATATATATATATTTTGAGACAGAGTCTCACTTTGTCACCCTCAGTGGAGTGTCTTGGTGTTATAGCTCACAGCAACCTCAAACTCTTGGGTTCAAGAGATTCTCTTGCCTCAGCCTCCCAAGTAGCTGGGACTACAGGTGCCCACAACTATGCCCGGCTATTTATTTTTATTTTTAGAGAGAGAGTCTTGCTCTTTGCTCAGGCTGGCCTCCAACCTGTGAGCTCAGGCAATCCACCTGCCTCGGCCTCCCATAGTGCTAGGATTACAGGCGTAAGCCACTGCACCCAGCCAGTAAATATTTTTTTAATGAATAAATGCTCTCTGGGGAAGTGCACAGTAAGTCTGACACCGTATTGTGTTTTTCTTTCCTTGGATATCCATGCTCACTTTCTTCCATCAATTCCAATTAGACATTGTTTGGCATTTCTCACCGTCCTCACTGACCTCCTCTGCACTCTGTCTGTATCAACAACAATGACCCAGCTAAAATAAACTGCCAGGAACTGAGCCCTGGACTTGGAAAATAGTGTGACTGGCCCTGGGTCCAGGAGGTCTATCCCTTCCCCTCCTCCAGAATGTCCTCATTATCAGGACTCTCCTAGGGGCCCATTGTTGTCCCTGAACCATTTGTATGCCTGGATAGGTTCTTGATTATGAAACCAAGTACCCAAAGTGACCTTTCAGCCTTTACTAGGTAGGTGAGCAGAATTTATTAAACTTCTTCCTTCTTCCCTTTTGTTCCCTTCCTTCTTCCTTCCTTCCTCCTTCTCTTCCTTCCCTTTCTGTGCGGGAGGAACTAGTAAGAAAGGGAAGGGATTCCCTGAGGTTTTAAGGGAAGAAAACTGAGGATGTTTGTTTGGTGAGGGAGCTGGGACTGGAAACTGCATCTTGTAATATGGAAATCTGGAGAACTTACCAGTTTCGTGTCATAGCATGACTACACCGGGTTTTCTTGCAAGAAAAAAAAATCAGCATTGTTGGCTTCACATATTGGACTATATTTAAAGGGATACAAGGACGTGATGTTTGTACTGGGAGGTGTTTTGGAAAACCTTGTAGTTTTGTGGACAAAAATGTTCACAATGTCCTGGCCAGGCTCTACAAATTGGGGACGTCCAGGCTCTGGTTCTCATCAGAGTTAAAAAGTGGCAAAAAGCGAGATTCTGTTATTAGATAAACTGGCAGTCACACGCAGGAACAATTTTCTATTCCAACCATGGCTTTGATTTTCAGTTTGTTTGGGTTAGACACTACTTTGGGGAACTGTACGTCCCACTGGACACTCCCAGCCCTGCTCTCTGAGTCGGGGTCACGGCCTCGGGTCCGCCGAGCCGCCGCCTTGACGGTCCGCGACCGGGGAGCTGGAGGGCGGGGCCGCAGCGGCGGGAGCGCGCACCCCGGTGCCGGCGGGTAGACGGGGAAGAGCGGCCGAGCCCGGGGAGCGCGCCCGGCCGCACGTGCGCGCGCCCGCCGCTCCCCCAGCCCGCGCGCCCGCGCCCGCCCGCACTCCCGGGAAGTCTCGCGATGCCGTAGCCGGCTGCTCCCGCTGCGGGTGGCTCCGGCTGTTGCTGTGGTTCCCGGAGTTGCTACTGCGGCGGCGGCGGCGCTGGTGGAGGTGTCGGCCCCTGGGCGGATGTTGACATTGTGTTGTTGTTATTGCTGATGGTAATGGCGGCGGCTGTGGCGGAGACGGCCCGGACCCCATCGCCCCTGTAGCCGGAGCGGCGACAGCCCAGAGCGAACTCCGCGGCCTCCGAGCCGGCGGCGCAGCGACTCCCCTCAGCCTCCGCCGCCTCGCCAGCCCGTCCTCCGGCGCCGGCCCCTGGAGTCAGGCCCCCTCGGGCACGGGGGCGCGGAGGCCCAGGATGGCGGATTTCGACGAGATCTACGAGGAGGAGGAGGACGAGGAGCGGGCCCTGGAGGAGCAGCTGCTCAAGTACTCGCCGGACCCGGTGGTGGTCCGCGGCTCCGGGCACGTCACCGTGTAAGGCCCGGAGGAGGGCGGGCGGCCGGGCGGGCGGCGCGGGCGGCGGCGGCCACTGCCCTGGGGAGCCCCTCTCCCTGGGGTCCGTCGGGGTCGGGCCCTTGGGAAGAGGAGGGGCCAGGAAGTGCCGACTGGCTTTCTCGTCGTTGGTTTAGGTCTCCGAGTGGGGACAGACATCGTCCTCCCTCCGCCACACGCCCCTTTAGCAGGCCCTCCAGGCCCGCGCGAGCCGACGGGTCCCAGCAGGGAGGGTTTTCCTGTAGGGGCTGCTCCTGCGGCCGCTGCAAGTCCAGGAGTGCGTGCGGGTCTCGCTCTGGTTCTCCTGCCCCGTTCCCCGGGGCTCTCACGGCCCAGGTCTGGCCTTTGAGCCTAGTGACATAAGCCTCAGAGGCCAGGTCTGGGCCGAGAAGGACCCCGGTGACAGTGATACCGAGGTTCACTGTCGTGTGTCTGTGTGTTTCACACTGACCTACAGGTCTGACCGGTTTTAAAGAGGAGTTCATTTCTGTGGGACCAGTGCAAGTCCAGTGATTGTATATGATGAAAACATACAGATGAATGTAAATTTGAGATATGCAGTAAGATATATATCTATGTTTACGACTTTAAAAAAAAAAAAACATGGTCGTAAGGCTCACACTCTGCTCAGGGTTCCCTTTAGGCTGAGTCCTCCCTTGGGACATGAACTCTAGGATGGCCTCTTCATTTGGTAAGGATTCCTGTAAGTCTGACTAGCAACACTAAAAGTCCGGTATTATTCAAACAATAAGGAATGAAAGCTTTCTGAAAGGTCGTGACTAATAAAGGAATGTGAAGACTTGAACCAAATTATGAGCTGTCCGGAAGCAGGAAGTTTTGTAATGTTTGTCTGAGGAGTCCAGGGTTTCGGACAACTTGTAAGTCTTGATATTCTTCCATTTTAGATCGCTTGTTCAAATCATAGATCAAACTTGAGTACTTGTCAGAATATCTCTGTACTTTTTCATTAAAATAAAAAGGCTAGAGAGTATCTAGAACAATTTTCATTGTATTTTGGTATAGGGTGAGTGGGATGTGCTGTGATTAACTTAGTGAAACAGTTAAGTATTCTCATGTAATAAGATTGTCAGCAAAATCCTTGTCTTTCTCAGTGGGTGATCTGACCAGACATACTGTGGTTTGGGTGTGCTCAGGTGGTGCTTTGATTTCTTTAGCACCTGTTAGTTTATATTCAGGTTACTCAACAGGGTGAAAACACTGCATAATTGCTATCCCAGCACCATGACAGGACAATGGCATTTATCACCCCAATAAGTTTCTAAGTGTCAGGGCCAGTTTAATTAACAAATACAACTAAGTATCAGATATGAAATGTTTAACACATATAACAGAACTTTTTTAGCCTTCTAACCCACCATTTAATTTTTAGTTTGACTCTTAGCAGCTTTTTAGGTTGTGGTAAGCCAAGGGATTTCCGGACTTTTTTAATGCTGTCTGTCTACCTTTCTCACTACACTCCTCATGTCACAGAAAAGTTGGCAAAATATTGTTATTTAAAAGGTGCAGTTTGCTCACTTTAAAGAGAAGAAGAGCTACATACTTTGTTGGATAAACAAAAAATAATAATAGGCAAAATACTCAGAACCAGAGAGGCAATCAGTGAATTTGATTGTAGTTGGCTGCTCAGAGAGGGTGAGAAAGAATTATTGGTGGTTTTCTAGCATAGGTGCCTATTTGAATCACCTGGGAGCCTTTTAAAGAAAATGCCCTGGCCCTACTCCAGGTTAATTGAAGGCCCCGTATCCAGACATGGATAGTTTAAAAAAAAAAAAAAAAAATTCCACAGGTGATTCTAATGTTTTAGCCAGGGTTGAAAATCACTTTTGGGGAAGATAAGAATGGGACTGTCTGCCACCTGTAAACAGTGGGCCTTTCTGTGCTGGGAGTTAATATTTCTGTGATCTTCCTCCACTTCTCTCTCCTTTCAGGAGAGCTTATAGGCTCTAGGGTCAAAGCTATCTCAGCTACTTCTTGGGTAAATTATTTATTTATGCCCCTTCAGTTCAGATGCAGATAGTTAAACGTAAGGACCCTTATTAAATAAGATAATACATACAAGTAGTTCAGTGTTTGGTAATGTCCTTAGTAAATATTAGCCTTTGTTAATTATTCTCATCAGGTATGGTTTTCCACTTTGGGAAACGTAAGTGTAAAACAGGACCAAGAAATCAGAACTGCTATTTTCAAACCTAATAATGATTCACTTCAGTCTTATTTTTCCATTTCTGGATAACTTGTATATGCTTAACTTTGTGAAGTATTTCAGTGAGAATTAGGATCTCTTTTCATTAAACCCTCAAGCCTATTTTGTGGTGACATAGGTCTGGTAATACAAAACTTTGTGTACATGACTCTGTCCTGCATAGTTTTCAAACATACTATGCCAATGGGTAGCCCGTTTAGCCCCTATAAAGGTTTTTGCAGTTGGTGCTTATATGTTGCTGTAACTGTTCCTGTTTTCTTGCCTTTAAATATAAATGGGGAGAACTAGTAAAACATTTGTAGTGAGACTGGCTAAACTTAGCACCCTAACCCCTTGTTTTCTGTTTTTGTTTTTTTTTTTTAAACTAAGGAACAAATCAAAGGAGTCTTCCCTTACCAATTTGCTAGTAAATGATAGTGTGAATGGAACATTTGTGATGCAGATCAGGCAGAAGGACATACTGATCTATCTATAGGTTTGTCACAGATTTAACATTTAAGTAGGATTTAGCAGTTGAATATTTCTATTTTTCTACTGTAATATAATACAGTATTATTCCTTATTTGAAAAATTATTTTCATGTTGACATGATTGTCATATCCTTTTGGTGATGTGAGGAAGTAAGTTACCCCCCTTTTTTTTAGTAGAGATGGGGGTCTCACTTTTGCTCAGGCTGGTTGTGTATTCCTGAGCCAAGCAATCCACCAGCTTCACCCTTCCAGAGTGCTAGGATTATAGGAGTGAGCTACCACATCTGGCCTATTGTTTTAGGTTTTTTCTTTTCTTTTTTTTTTTGGTGAGAGTCTCACTATGTCGCCCTTGTTAGAGTGCCGTGGTGTCACAGCTCGCAGCAACCTCAACTCTTGGGCTTAAGCCATTCTCTTGCCTCAGCCTCCCAAGTTGCTGGGACTACAGGCGCATGCCACAACGCCCAGCTATTTTTGTTGTTGTTGTTGTCATTGTTGTTTAGCAGGCCCTGTCTGATTTTGAACCCACCAGCCCCATGTATGTGGCCAGTGCCCTAACACTGAGCTATAGGTGCTGAGCCAAGTTGCCTTATATTTTTTAGGTTAGTTTTAGGACAGAGCATAATCAGAGGCTGTAAAGTGGCCTTTGATAAAAATATTTTCATATCAACCCCAAATCAGATTTATACTTTGTACTTCTCTCATGATCAATATTCTGTCTTGACATTCTTCTGGCTAGGAATTCTATTTTTTTTCATTGTTAGATTTGCGTGTAGCAATATGGAGAAATCTTGTACAGAAGCATATTTTGAGGAAAAGTGGTATTAGAAGGAAGGGAAATGATAAGTTCATGTTATTGTATATTTATCTATATGTAACTTAAAGAGCTTAAGCTAACAATTCAATTAAAAGAGGATTTCCTATTTTTGTGTGTGGTGACTTTTCACAGAATTAAGGTGAGGAAAAAAGTGATTGACTTATTAGGTGGTGTCAGCCAGATTCAATAGTGTTTTAAAATTATAGTATTCATTATCCCTTAGAATAAATCTGTGCAAGTTATTTTAGACCTGTATTTCATGGCTAATCTGCCATTATATCTGACATTGTTTGTCCCCATCTCGTTTCATACCCCTTCTATATCAGAATCAAATGTGGGACTTTTATAGTATGTGTAATCTTGATTTCTAAGTTAAGTCCTGTCATACAGACAAGTTATTTTGCTGAGGTTTGTTTCTAATGTTATTATTTTCTAATTTCACTAAATTGCTGTCTCTTCCTGTACTCTCTTCTGAGGTATAATCTTTTTACCATCTCCACAAATAATTCTCCATCCTTCAACACCAGTTTTTATCAATGGCTGTGGGACACCAGTCTTTGCTTGTTTTTAAATCAGGTATGCTGTGGAAAATTGGAGATTTAGAAATGTGACTTGGGGAACAATACATAGTATAATTTTTGCCTATAAGACATCACAAGAACACGTTAGTGTTTATTGACCTTTCATATGGCAGAGTTAATAAAAACTTGTCTGTCTTGAAATGTGTATCTCAAGCCTGCTTCTAGATGCTGTGGTTAGCACTAAGAGATCTGTACTTGATTTCTCCAAATTACAGAACTCCTTCAATTAAACAATTTTTTAGGCTAGGTGCTAATCCTAGCACTCTAGGAGACTGAGGTGGGTAGATTGCTTGATCTCACGAGTTTGAGACTAGCCTGAGCAAAAAGCTTTGAAACCAGCCTGAGCAAAAAGTGAGACCCTGTCTCTACTAAAAATAGAAAAAGTTGAGGCAAGAGGATCCCTTGAGCCCAAGAGTTGGAGGTTGCTGTGAGCTATGATGATGCCACGGCACTCTACCCAGGGTGACAGCTTGAGACTGTCCCCCTCCCCCAAATTAAAAAAACCCCAATTTTTTACAAATTTCATAATTCCTACCTTTTTTTTTTCCACTCAGCATAATAGATACATTCCATTTTTAAAGATTAAACTTTTGGTTTGAGATTTTTGAAAATTTGTTTTGGAATTATTCTTTTTTTTATTTATTTTTTATTTATTTTTATTTTTTTTTTTGAGACAGAGCCTCAAGCTGTCCCCCTGGGTAGAGTGCCATGGCATTACAGCTCACAGCAACCTCCAACTCCTGGGCTCAAGCGAGTCTCCTGCCTCCGCCTCCCCAGTAGCTGGGACCACAGGCGCCCGCCACAACACCTGGCTATTTTTTGGTTGCAGCCGTCATTGTTGTTTTGGCGGGTCCGGGCTGGGTATTCGAACCCGCCACCTTAGGTGTACGTGG